GGGGGGGGGACCGGCTGCACCAGCGGTAGGCCTATCCCTGAGTTAGTTACAGACAGGAAACTCCCCTATGTTACCACACCGAACGGTATTCTAATTCAGTATCAGTGACAGAGCAGGGGGCTTACCCCGAAGCTGGCCCCTTTGTGGAGCAGGATGGGTTCGGGGTCCAGAAGGGCGCTACTGCCGTCTTCATCCTGCGTGACCGCGATGACCCCGGAAAACACAAAGTAGAAGCTGTCGCCGCGATGCCCCTTCCGCACGATGACTCTCCCGCGTCCGAACCTGCAGAGACACGAGACTCACCACTGATCAATGGATCCCTTCGCCGGGAGGACGAATCCCACCGACACCTGACTGCAGATCACGGGGGCCCCATAGTAAAAATGTGACGGGGGCCCCTTCTGATGACCTCTCTCTGAGCTGTGAGTAACAATGCCAAGATCCCAAAGACTCCTCCTGCGTATCTGAAGTCGTCTCTACACTGGAGACTGTCCAGGGAATTAGAGTTGTCATCAACTGCAACCACTCTGACCCTTAAAGGCACAGTACCGTTTTATCTTCACATCTTCTATGTTTAATTTGACTGAACAAACTAATTGGGCCCCTTCCACCCCCAGGGCCCCATAGCAGCCGTCTGGTCTGCTATGGCTATCGTTAACAATTAACACCTGGCCAGACACTGGGATGGGTTTGCAACATTGTTATTATAATTCTTCCGCTCCGGTAACTTTGTGTCCAGGTTAGAAGGTGTGTAAACCCGAACCGTGAACTGCTCCCGCCCGCTCCCTATTGGTCTGTTCATTATATCATTGAAAGTGTCTTCTTAGATCTGTTTGATAAGTGCAACTAAATACATTTTGATCCCGCCAAAAATCCAGTGAGCTGATAACCTCCTGTGCTCTCTGCCTGTGCTGTACTACCGATACCTCAAGCAGTGTTATTAGCCTTGCCCAAACTCAGAGGTGCAACTAGAAACCTCAGGGCCCCGGTGCTAGAAACCATGAAGGCCCGCCCCCCCACCATCAAAAAATATTGCTGCCTCGGCAGTTACCGGGGTAGCACATGTGTGTAGTCCCAGGAGGCAATGTTGGTGCCGCTGGGGTTACCGGGGCTGGACCCTCTTCTTCCTTTCCAGGACCGCCCCCCCCCCCCAAGTAGCGGAACACAAGGGCGACTGCTGTGACCCAGGTAGTTCCCCCATTGCCCAAACCACTACCTCCAGCCCTGCGGCACTCCACCGACGGTGGTCACCGCACTGATGGGTGGCAGGCTGCGGCGCTTTGTACTGACCTGCGGTAATAGACGACTCGCGCCAGCATGTGCTGCATCTGGGTGCTGTACCTCCGGAAGCCGAGGATCCCCATCATCATGCTGCGGATGAATCGAATGTCCTGCTCGGAGCGCTCCTCCGGCCGCCGCAGAGTCACCTCTATCGCCTTCTCAGGGAAGGTGAACTGTAACCAGAAAAACATGGAGGATGTTTCTGCATGGACCTCGACAGTCTCGTTTTTCATTTTTATCAGTAAAAACACGTCCCTGATCCTCAATCAGTGATTATTGCCAGATGGACATGGTGATATCAGGTCTGCTGCAGGCAGGATTTGGCATTTCCTCAGTCTCCCCTCCCCCAGTGATCAGTCTGCTGCAAGCAGGAGGAAGCATTTCTTCAGTCTCCCCTCCCCCAGTGATCAGTCTGCTGCAGGCAGGAGGAAGCATTTCCTCAGTCTCCCCTCCCCCCAGTGATCAGTCTGCTGCAAGCAGGAGGAAGCATTTCTTCAGTCTCCCCTCCCCCAGTGATCAGTGTGCTGCAGGCAGGAGGAAGCATTTCCTCAGTCTCCCCTACCCCCAGTGATTAGTCTGCTGCAAGCAGGAGGAAGCATTTCCTCAGTCTCCCCTCCCCCAGTGATCAGTCTGCTGCAGGCAGGAGGAAGCATTTCCTCAGTCTCCCCTCCCCCAGTGATCAGTCTGCTGCAAGCAGGAGGAAGCATTTCCTCAGTCTCCCCTCCCCCAGTGATCAGTGTGCTGCAGGCAGGAGGAAGCATTTCCTCAGTCTCCCCTCCCCCAGTGATCAGTGTGCTGCAGGCAGGAGGAAGCATTTCTTCATTCTCCCCTTCCCCAGTGATCAGTCTGCTGCAAGCAGGAGGAAGCATTTCCTCAGTCTCCTCTCCCCCAGTGATCAGTGTGCTGCAGGCAGGAGGAAGCATTTCCTCAGTCTCCCCTCCCCCAGTGATCAGTGTGCTGCAGGCAGGAGGAAGCATTTCTTCATTCTCCCCTTCCCCAGTGATCAGTCTGCTGCAAGCAGGAGGAAGCATTTCCTCAGTCTCCCCTCCCCCCAGTGATCAGTCTGCTGCAGGCAGGAGGAAGCATTTCCTCAGTCTCCTCTCCCTCAGTGATCAGACTGGAACTGTGTAACAAGTCGCAAGGTGAGAGGTTGTAGCAGGGGCCGGTGTGTGTCAGACATTTGCCAACAGAACTGCACAGGTATCAGGAGTTACATGAATATGTTATTACTGATCCACCATCTCAGTACAGGAAGTAGACGGTGACAAGGGAGGAGCTCAGATTTTGTCCAAACCCGAGCTCCTGCAAAGATAGAAGAAAGCTCCTCCCCCTGCTGCCAGATCAGCTGCAGCCAGGGAATTTCCCGCCCGCTGTGTAGCAGGGGTGCAGTGACATCATTGACCTTATATGGCCACATGACTATATTTGGTAAATGGCATTGACCTAACATGACCATATAAGGTCAATGATGTCAGCACAAGCATCCCGCCCCTTTGTTTATGTGCAGCTGAGGGGCGAGGAATGCCACGATACTTCCTAACCCCGGATGATGCCAGAACAAAGATGGCTCTGTCCTTCTGGAAAGAAGGCACGTTGAGTGTTGGGATCTCCATGACAAGTGATAAATACCCCGGACAGGTGGGACTTTTTTTGGCAGAGCACCTGACATGGTGAACGGTAAATTCTTCTTTATTACGTCTGTAATTATTCCTGACATGATTACACACAGCGGAGCTCACCCTGTACGCAGAGCTGATGTTATCAATGTCATAAAACAAGCCACGGCGTCCCCTCGGGATATTCACCTCCACTGATATAACATGTTTGTATTTCATGCCAAGACCTCAGGGGAGGGTCTCCTGAAAGCTCCGCCCTGGAGGTACTCTAAGCTGGAAAACCCGCAGTCACAGCCTCAGGCTAGAGTCGCTCACCTCGTACTGAGTTTTGAAGAAGTTCGAGTCAAATGCCAGAGCCAATTTCTCCTTCTCTTTCTTTCCTTTGTCCTAAAATGCAGAAAATGATAATTTCTCCTTATTCTAGACATGCAGAAGTCATGTTCACAACCTGTCCCAACAATGTGTTCCTTTTCACTTCCAGGCAGGCCCATAGGGCTGTGTGAGGTCTGAGTCTCCTATATTAGATAGGACCAATGGCGTAACCTAGAATTCACAGGGCCCCACAGCAAAATTTCGTATAGATACCCCCAACCCAACCCCCTCCCTGCCAGAAAAAAAGAACCTACCTCCAAAACACGTTCCCGCTCACTGCTGCAGAGCCAACCATAGACCCTGCAGAGCCCACACAGAGCCCACCTGACATCCCGCACAGCCCATCAGACACCCCGCACATACCAGAGACTCCAAACAGCCCACGTGAGACCCCGCACATACCATAGACCCCGCATAGTCCACCTGAGAGTGACACTGCAGAGCCCACTTGAGACCCCGCACATATCATAGACCCCGCACAGCCCATCTGAGACCCCGCACATACCAGAGACCCTGCACAGCCCACGTGAGACCCCGCACAGCCCACGTGAGACCCCGCACATACCATAGTTCCTGCACAGCCCACCTGACACCCTGCAGAGCCCGCCTGACATCCCGCACAGCCCATCTGCCACCCCGCACATACCAGAGACCCTGCACAGCCCACGTGAGACCCCGCACAGCCCACGTGAGACCCCGCACATACCATAGTTCCTGCACAGCCCACCTGACACCCTGCAGAGCACACTTGAGACCCCGCACATACCATAGACCCCGCATAGCCCACCTGAGAGTGACCCTGCAGAGCCCAAAATAGACTCTCTATGGTGGGCTCTGCAGGGTCTCAGGTGAGCTGGTCACACCCCTGCTCACCCCTTGCCTGTCAGCTCCGATCCGCTGTCAGCCTCCTCCACTGCCGGCCCCCACCTCCTCCACCGCTGCCAGGCCCTGCCTCCTCCACCGCCGCCGGGCCCCAGCCTCCTCCACCGCCGCCGCCAGGCCCCAGCCTCCTCCACCGCAGCTGCTGGCTTTCACTGACTCAACAGCGGCTGTGAGGAGGAACGGGCAGCTGAACAGATCACTGATAGGTTGTCAGTGATCTGGACAGCGGCGCGTTCCTCCTCACAGCCGCCAGTGACAGTCCTGCAGCCTGCGATGCCATAGCGACCCAGGCGGCCCGCACAGTATCAGGGGGACCCCTTTGTTCCTGGTCCTGGCCAGGCCCCCCTGTGCCATGGGCCCCATAGCGGCCGCCTGGGTCGCTATGGTGATAGTTCTGCCACTGGTTAGGACCTCCCCTAACAACAGCCCCCTTAGCGGCTCCGATTTCAGATAAGGGCTCAGACAACACACAGCCCGCTCATGGTTGATGTAAATTACAAACACAGCTCCACAGTCTGTATAAGTGGGCGGAGTTGGACTTTTTTCCTGGAGGGAACGTATGTTTCTCCTCTCACCTGCTCCTCGTAGGCGGGCTCTTCGGATTTGAATCCAGACACCTCAACATCCCCCCAGAACGACGACCCCCTCGCCTCCTCCGCTGCGTGGATGAAGCGCCTGGTGGCCGCTTGTAGGAGGGTGACCTGGCGCACCGCATCGCGGAGACTCTGGTGGACGAAAAGGCAACGTGTATAAAATGTATTTATTACGGTCGCTACAAAAAAAAAAATTTGTTATAAATATTTAATTTCTCATTGAGGAAAATGATCAAATATGGAATGTGAATATTTAATGTTACCATTTGAAGGCAGCAGACGGTAAGCTCTCTGAAGGCTCCTTCATACAGCTATTGTGTTAGAAAATATCATCCTGAATGACTCAGAGGAGGGACAATCCCCCCTCACTTTATCTTAGCAGAGATGAGAACATCATAAAGAGAAGCTACAAGTCTATTAGACCAACATTCACACAGCTTTCAAACACTTCTACAAAAGAATACAGTGAAATAAATGTGAATCTTGGGTGAAAAGGAGAACTATGAGGTGAGTGCTTTTCACTCACCTCATAGTTCTAGCCGACCTGTGACAATGAGTCTGTCACAGGTCGGCTCAGTAAATCGGGAGGTGAGCGAACACATACCGGCGTTCTCTCACTTCTCGATCCTGTCACGGCTCTCTGCCATGACAGGGGGAGGGGCTGGATTCCCCCCTCCCCGCCAGCGCTGACAGGCGGAACGGACGGGGGAGGGTACAGCTGGCCCTGCCTCTAGATAGGCAGAGCCAGCTGTCAGTCACGCAGCTGGGGGGATCCCGGCACAATTGTCGGGATCCGCTTCAGCTGCGGCGTCTCAATATACAGCTCGCGGTATACTGAGCTTAGGGTAACGGGAGGACGCTAGTTTGTGTCCTCCCATTACCCTAAGGAGGACTATGGGGAAAAGACTTAACTCCATAGTTCTCCTTTAATCATGTGTGAAGAAATGTATGCACTGAATCCTATGAGTCGGCCAACTCACTGAAAACAACGCACTCCCTGTGAGGCTGTTGTCTTATCTCACTGCCTTAGCAGTGCACCGCCTGTTTAGCCATACGCGGTGATTGGCCTTCCCCGTTCCTCTCTCAGTTCTTCTCTATCAGTCTGCTCACAGTGCATGCTGATCTAATGTGAGCAGTGTTTCAGCAAGGATGCCGGCTGTACCGCCTGGCATAGAGCAAACACCTACATGCAGAGCATTCTATATGATATAAACGGCAAGAATGTGTATTCACTGAAAATATGATTCGGTCAGCCCTGCAGCCATTGTCTTGTCCCGCAGCCCTCAGGCGACAGTCATGTTTGTCCTGTGGCCCTATAGCAACTGGTCACTGAATAACCCAGAAGGATGGGGAAGACACAGACCTGATTGTACTGCATGTGTAATGTTATACCAAAGCCCCCCCCCCCCCTCCCCCTCCTGTAATGTATAGGAGGATCTGCCACTGAGACCTGTGAGGACATCTGAATTAAAGAGTCTTTACTGTATAGGCACCCGTGCTGCAAAGTTGCTGGTGTGACAAATCTACATATACACTATATTGCCATAAGTATTGGGACGCCTTTACACGCAGATGAACTTTAATGGCATCCCAGTCTTAGTCTATGGGGTTCAGTATTGGGTTGGCTTCGCCCTTTGCTGCTATAACAGCTCCGCCTCTTCTGGGAAGGTGTCCACAAGGTTTAGGAGTGTGTCTATGGGAATGTTGGACCATTTGTGAGGTCAGGTACTGATGTTGGGGGAGGGGCTCGCAGTCTCCGCTCTAATTCATCCCAAAGGTGTTCTATGGGGTTGAGGTCAGGACTCTGTGCGGCCAGTCACGTTCCTCCCCCCCAAACTCCCCCATCCATGTCTTTATGGACCTTGCTTTGTGCACTGGTGCGCAGTCATGTTGGAACAGGAAGGGGCCGTCCCCAAACTCCTCCCACAAAGTTGGGAACATGAAATTGTCCAAAATGTCTTGGTGTGCTGATGCCTTAAGAGTTCCCTTCACTGGAACTAAGGGGCCAAGCCCAACCCCTGAAAAACAACCCCACACCATAATCCCCCCTCCACCAAACTTTACACTTGGCACAATGCAGTCAGGCAAGTACCGTTCTCCTGGCAACCGCCAAACCCAGACACGTCCATCGGATTGCCAGACAGAGAAGCGTGATTGGTCACTCCAGAGAACACGTCTCCACTTCTCTAGAGTCCAGTGGCGGCGTGCTTTACACCACGGCATCCCACGCTTTGCATTGCACTTGGTGATGTGCGGCTTGGATGCAGCTGCTCGGCCATGGAAACCCATTCCATGAAGATCTCTACGCACTTTTGTTGCGCCATTCTGAAGGCCACATGGAGTTTGGAGGTCTGTAGCTATTGACTCTGCAGACAGTTGGCGACTTCTGTGCGCTTCAGCATGCGCTGACCCCGCTCTGTCATGTGACGTGGTCGACCACTTCCTGGCTGAGTTGCTGTTGTTCCCAGTTGCTTCCACTTTGTTATAATCCCAGTAACAGGTGACCGCGGAATATTTAGTAGCCGGGAAATGTCACGGATGGACTTATTGCACAGGTGACAACCTATCACGGTACCACGCTTGTAGTCACTGAGCTCCTGAGAGCGACTCGTTCTCTCACCAATGTCTGTAGAAGCGTCTGCTTGCCGAGGTGTGTGATTTTATACACCTGTGACCATGGAGGGGATTGGAACACCTGGATCCTCTGGCTAGCAGGTCTGTAATTATCACCCTCATGAGGTTTTAGTATCCCCATTCGGTTGATCATTGTGACGCTGAGATAAAAGGTGACAGACACAAAGGATCATAGCATAATGATCTGTGACTAATTCGGGGCTCACTAGCAACTTTTGCAGCAGCTCCGATTGACCAGAGGCGGTAGGACGAGAGATCCAAAGGTGCCACAGATCTCTGCTACAAAGTTGCTGTGTTAACAATTATAGAAAGCCAAAACTTTTCTTGTAATTTTTTCATAGAGTACCGAAGGGTTAAAAATCTACCAAACCACACAAACATTTCCTTCTGAATGAAATGGGGAAAAAATTAATTAACAAAATAAATAAAATCAAAATAACCAATGTTACTTGTATCTCTCTGTCTTCCTCTGATCAATGTTTATAAACAATGTTACTTGTATCTCTCTGTCTTCCTCTGATCAATTGTTATATACAATGTTACTTTGTATCTCTCTATCTCCTCTCTGATCAATGTTTATAAACAATGTTACTTGTATCTCTCTGTCTTCCTCTGATCAATGTTTATAAACAATAGTTACTTTGTATCTCTCTATCTCCCTCTGATCAATGTCTATAAACAATGTTACTTGTATCTCTCTGTCTTCCTCTGATCAATGTTTATAAACAATAGTTACTTTGTATCTCTCTATCTCCCTCTGATCAATGTCTATAAACAATGTTACTTGTATCTCTCTGTCTTCCTCTGATCAATGTTTATAAACAATAGTTACTTTGTATCTCTCTATCTCCCTCTGATCAATGTCTATAAACAATGTTACTTGTATCTCTCTGTCTTCCTCTGATCAATGTTTATAAACAATAGTTACTTTGTATCTCTCTATCTCCCTCTGATCAATGTCTATAAACAATGTTACTTGTATCTCTCTGTCTTCCTCTGATCAATGTTTATAAACAATAGTTACTTTGTATCTCTCTATCTCCCTCTGATCAATGTCTATAAACAATGTTACTTGTATCTCTCTGTCTTCCTCTGATCAATGTTTATAAACAATAGTTACTTTGTATCTCTCTATCTCCCTCTGATCAATGTTTATATACAGTATGTCAGACGGCCTTTTTTTGACAGCAGCAGCTTCTATGGCTCCTGTATTTACACAGCAAGTCCTGGCTGTCATTTTGTCAGTGGGGAACTGCGGGGATGTGCGATGGTGGAGAGGCAATGGGGCAGAAGGGCATGAATATGAATACATACATATTATATATGTATAATGAGCAGACATGTAAATTATTAAAAACTATTCCAAACAAAATATAAAAAATCTAAATAAATGTATTCAATCAATAATAATAATACTATCCAGAAGTCCATAAATGTACAATGAGCAACTCCTGACAAAGTGTTGGTTGGCCACTGTACACGTGGAGTTTTTCCTTCAACCAAGTTCATTTAAAAATCTACTTTTGTCAAGTGCAAGAGGTAGTTAGACAAATTTCTATAAAGCAAGGATAATTCTTCTCTTAGACAGTTGTCACCTGGAAGAGGTGTCCCCAGTGGATTTAGCAGAGGTTTTAATCATTCCATATTCCATCCAAAACTAAAACCAAAAGCTTCGGCTTTACACAATCTGTGGCCATTTGATAGAACAACCAAACGTTCTGCTCCATTTATTTTGTCAATCCACACAGAGCAATCAAAGGCATAAAATAAGAGATGGGATCAAAATTTCCCCGCATAGAAAATCAGGACTGCTTTAGAAGACATGGGCGTCTTTTCCCCCCCTCCCCCCAGAGACCTTGAATGATCAATCAAAACTTTAACTACTTTCCAATCCTCTGAGCCGGCCAGCTGTGACGGCGCTTCCTCAAGCCTGTCTCCTTCTGCTTGTCAGGGTTTCTTACCCTTTTGTGTCCTGTTAACTTGCAGCCTGTTTTCTGTTGCAGTATGTCTGACATTGTTCTTTCCTCTTTGGCGCCAACCCCAGAAATATCATCATTCTGCAACTTCTGACAAATTCCTGTCTCAGAGTGATGATGCAATACCAGGTCACTATTTAACCATCATTCTCTGCCCTTGCGTGTGTTCACATCTACCAAGCGCTCTGCTGTTGTTCCTGTTCTCTGTGTATGACCCTGGCTCTGGCTGACTGATCTCCTGGTTCCTGACTCTGGCTATTGTTTCCGTTCATCTGGCTCTCCGTGCTCCCTGACCTGGTTCATCTGACTACCCGCTATGGCATCTGACCTCTGGCTTGCCACCGACGACGTCCTGGACTTCCTCCAAAGGTTTTCGCCATTTTCGTTTATCGTTATTTTCAATAAACTCCTTTTTTTTTTTTTAAACCTGCACTGTTAGTTTCAGTCTGGATTCTTGGTTTCCTGGAACTGCTGCAGTGCTGGTATGTCCCTTGTCATCCTCACGTCCTATACACTGTGTATAGAAATTGATGACTAGGGGACCTTAGATGACTCAGGGTAGAGACCCTCCAGGTAACGGGTCTAAGAGCAAGCCAGCTCCGAGGACCAGGTGAGTATCACTTTTTCTATGTTCCTCCCTAGACCAAAACAAGGACTTGCAGTGCGGGGGTTAATACACAATATCTCCGTAGTTCTTCTTTAAGAGGGGTTTTTGGATAAGCCATTCCCTTCAGTACAA